TTAAGCTGCACTTCATTCTTATAATTTTGGATCTGTAAATCACTATCCGTGATATTTAACATTCTGTAAAGACAACTAACGAGCTGGGGCCAACGTGATACAGCATTGCAGAAAAACATCACATTCACCGACTAAAGAAAGTCGCTTAGTTATTCAGATCCAGAAAGCACATTGAAGCAAATTAAAACCCTTTGAAGTTGATAGAGCTTTATTTATGAACAATTAAAAGATATATATTCGAGAAAAATAAGCGGGGTTTTGAGGGTGAAAGCCGCCCTTTAACTCATTTCGTCGCAATTGAAGAACATATGACCGCCAAAACGATTTTAAATGTCTCGCAAAATCGCAGGGAACTCTCTTGCTGACAGCGTTGTACAGCTTGCAATTCTCTGCATTTACATGAGGAGAATTATCAATTACGATTGAGTGACAGTAAACATTTCCGTTTTAATTCAACCAAGAAACATTTCATTTCAGAATTATATTTCCCTAAAAACCATGAGATTGGGAGTCTTGTCGTGAGAAAAGTCTTTCGGGCTTGTTCAAGGTTTTTATTCTACAACCCCGCACAAAACTGTTGAGACAATTCCATCTATTTTCTAACTTTTGCGCCCTACTCCCGTCTCCCCTAAACACAAAAAGTAAACCCCCTCCCCACCCCCTATTCAAAGTTGCCTTGGTCTAAAAACCAACGTGTATAATTGCCATGCTATCCTAAACAACTTTGGATAAGGGGAGGGGGGAAATCGGGTTTTCATTTGGCAGAGGTTTCAGTTTTTGCCGGGATGACAGGAAAAAATAGGCATTTTCGCGATTTGTCTCAACAGATTTTGTCCGGGGTTGTCTGCGGACTGTTTTCGGTATTCTTTAACTTTCATAGCAATTACCTCAAGTTATAGTCCTCTTTTTCCGTCAAATTGATAGAATCCATCGTTTCAGCATACTTTTTATTTCTTTTGAATGCGAAATAAAATTTTTACAGTAAAAAATTGAAGTTATAACACTCTGATTACATGATCTGTCAAATGACATTTACTCTGGGACGTTACCATGGGCTGACTTTCAACGGCTTACGTGTCCGTAGACGCTTTGCCTGCTCAAATGATGACATTTATATGTAATTGCCAGACAAAATGGATCTCTCGAGAACTTCCGATAGTGACGAATCATTTTCAGGAGGCTCGGAATTATCTCATGAATCGCTAGGTGAGAGGAAGGTTAGTGCGCTTATCTGGTCACTTACAGTCACGCGAATTTGGTTGATTTTTCCATCCCGCGAGTAATTTGCCTTAGCAGTGATTACGTTGTTCGCCAAGTACAGTGCAAATATCCTACACTTAATAGGACAACATTGCCTCAGTTACAGCAAATGTGGAATTGTGTACGAGCGGGAATGTGGTATGATGGATCTCTCATTTCTCCACGCAGATCCCGCGGGAACAATAACGGGAAATCCCTTGATGTGTGAGGTGCTTTGAGGAGCTTGTTATGCAACAAAAACGGAGTAGTTTTTCTCGCAGACGGTTAACTTAACGAATAAAGCACAGCAGAGGAAAGAAACATCGGTTAACGACGGTTAACAACGGTTAACAACTTTTATGAAGAAAAACAACAGTTAGACTATCAATTTCCTTTAATATATTCTGTTAACCGCCGTTAACCGTTGTTAACCTTTGGAATAAACATGTGCATGCCTGTTAATCGTTTATTTCAAGCGTTTACGGTGCTTTCAAGCATTTTGCGTAGTATATAGAACCTTTTTGTTGATTTTCAAGCATCAAAAAGCCCTTTTTACTTAAGGGAAAACTTTTTGACACTGGTGTAATTGTCATGAAATGCGCTGTTGTTTTTTTTTTCGCCACAAAGGAACTGCCATCGCCTGACAACATGTTTTCGCTGTATTTGTGATCAAAGAGGCATTGCTTTCCCTACACATTATATTTCTACCCATTTTGGAAGTTCTTCATTAATATTTGTTCTTTTGGACTTGGTTGTCATAGAAAAATTAACGGTTTTATCGGCATGGATTCTATTATTTTGTCAAGTAAATAATCTGGTATATATGTTGTAAATTGTTCTAATTACACACTCGGTAAACGCGGGTATTGTTAACTCGGTGAAGCTTACTTTTCCAGTTCTACTCTAACTACATGGAGAAAGTTGTCAGTGCGACTAAGTATCACTACCTCTAAGGGGTATTTTTAAGTGCTCCGGCGCATTCTTGAGTCCTCGTGCATGACCTGCACACCACGCACTATTATTTTTGAACAGGACAGTTGTCCTGCGCAAATATAATAAATAACCAGTCTTATCTAATTTATTCGACATGTAAGCACAATTAACGTTGGTAAAAAGGCCGGAGGTAAGGCTCCTATTAAGATATCATACTTTTGACACACAGTAACTTCTTAACCGTGGCCACCAACCACAATTAATTTCAATACTTTTTCTGTAAACAGCATGATTTCTTTCTCATTTAGGTATAAGGTTTCTAATTTATGGCTAAATTTCTAAGTGCATAATTAATGCATCCTAATTGTTTTTATGACACCTTCTTTCGTAGTTCACAAAGCTTTAGACAAGTACAACAGCTGTGCAAAAAATCAATACCCTCCGACCTTACATTGCGAAGTTACAGCGTTTTGAACGAGTGGCCTTCACAGACAACCCCGGACAAAACTGTTGAGACAATTCCATCTATTTTCTAACTTTTGCGCCCTACTCCCGTCTCCCCTAAACACAAAAAGTAAACCCCCTCCCCACCCCCTATTCAAAGTTGCCTTGGTCTAAAAACCAACGTGTATAATTGCCATGCTATCCTAAACAACTTTGGATAAGGGGAGGGGGGAAATCGGATTTTCATTTGGCGGAGGTTTCAGTTTTTGCCGGGATGACAGGAAAAAATAGGCATTTTCGCGATTTGTCTCAACAGGTTTTGTCCGGGGTTGTAGGTATAATAAAATAACATTGAATGGTAAAAAAAATTCCTTCATAGACTTATTTTGGTGAAAAAAATTCCTGCAAATAGTAATGCTGAAAAAAAAAAAAAATTCACACTTAAAAGAAATTGCCCACCCCCACAAAAATTAAATGGTCCGTCCCTAAATCAATTCAGAAGAAAATCGTCGAATACGATATAAAAAGTAAATATCCCGAAGAATACTCGACCGTCGATAAAGTAGGAGGCGAAAAGCCTTTAGCAAGTAATCCTGTTAAAGTAGGAGGTGAAAAGCCTTTAGCAAGTAAATCCTGTTTTGTCTAGAGTTAGTCGCCTTCTCATTTCTTTCCTAATCTCCAAGCAAGCGAGACTGAACGCCGATATGAGCGTTGTTGTTTGTATTAATTCCTTCGGCTCTACTAGTGGTCGCTGTATGTTTACACAAAGGGGTGAAGCGAGAAGACGTATAGGCATCTAGTCTTTAGCACTGCACGAAAAATTGGATTTACACCAAATTTACTCAGTGCAAATTTGGTACAAAAAAGTGCAAACTAAGGTTAAATAAAGGGCAAAGATGGTAAATACCGCATTTGCTCTAAAATTTACACCCCCATGTAAACTGGCAGGCAAATGCGGTATTTACCATCTTTGCTTTTAATTTCCCCCTAGTTTGCACTTTTTTGCACCATATTTACACCGAGTAAATTTGTGTAAATCCAATTTTTCGTGCAGTGTAGCTAGAAAGAACGCTGCGGGCTCTCTTTATTCGTTTTTTCTACCCGGAACATTCAGTAATCGGTTGGTGAAAATATATGGCAAGTGATCGTTGTTAGCACTTTAAGCCAGTGGCTGACAGTGGAGAGAGAACTACCTCCTTTTCTCATGATCCTTTGGTATGTAACTGCATGTTGTTGGATTACTGTTTACTTGACACTTTAAAGAGAGATTGAAACACTCTCTGTTTAATTTACGGACTGCGTTCCGTGTGTAAACAGTTGAAGCAGTCGGTAAAGGTTTTTAATAGGGAACTTACGCGTACTGCCCTCTTAAAGCCGTTGAAAACATGATAAACTCGTCCATACCAGAACCTCGTTAAGGTCGGAGGAGAGATAACAGCCCGTAACCACGGCCGAATGACATTAAGCTGACTGGCTATATTACAGGGCTATTTCCTTTACTCAAGATGCTTACAATCTGGGGAGCTTCATAATGTTTCTTGGTGTTCGCAGGAACCCTCAAACAAACATCTGACTGCTCAAGGCCATTAGGCATGTTGACACGGCAAGAGATTTACTAGGCATTGTCCTAACAAAAGAGACTTCCTTTTCGTCCTGTAAACGCTAATACCGGTGACCAACGGATGACTTCAGCTCGGGTAAATGACAGGCGGTGATTCTGGTGAGATGTTTACATGGCTTTTGTTCTGGTTGAGCAATCACACTAGCCTTCACAGGGGTAGCAGGTAGCAGACCTATCTGAAGTTATGGTGCATGTAAGTTGGACGACGAGTCATACCGCCTTGTATCTGTTGTATCAGTTGGTTAAGGTGTTCAACCCTGGCGGTGCCACACATCTGTTTGGCAATGCGTAATCAATAGAGGCGAAGATTAAGGTTCAAATATGTTGCTAAGAGAACATAAATTGGAGAGACATCGATCTCAACCGATGACAGGAGAGGGCCAACGACAGACCTACCAGGAGGAGACTTATAAAACTTAGTCGAAACGACTGACTGTGATGATGATCAATGGAATGTTAATAAATAAAAATTGTTGTGTGTTAAAGGGCATGTAAACCCAAAAATGCTACTTTTTTTTTTTGATATGAGTAGAATGTATACCGAAAGTACTTCATAAATCTTTTATCTTTTTTTCGATACAAGCGCATTTTGACCCAAGAAATCACCTCTGAAAGTTCACTTCGTCCGCCATTTTGATTCCGCCATCTTTGTTGTGACGTCACGAGTGGAATCTCTACCCATCGGAAGTCAAAAACATCTTTGGGACCTTTACAAGCACGTGTGTTGTCTAGTTTCCTACAAGAATATTTTTCAGTTTTGACAATGGTAAAGCGGTGTGTCGTTGGATCTTGTAATAACTCGAACAAAACAGGGCATTCTACTCATTTTTTTCCAAAAGAAGAAAGAATTCGGCGCCAGTGGATAAACTTCGTCCAAATTAAACGTGCAGACTTCTTAGAGCCTACAGAACACTCCATAATCTGTGGCGCTCATTTTGCAAACGAATGTTTCGAGGATGATGGGATGGTCAAAATGGGGCTCAAAGATAAAAGAAGTAATTTGAAAACCGGTTCGGTCCCCACAATTCAACCCCAGCGACCCAAAGCATTACCCGAAGCGCGTAAGCGGACTATGAAGAGCGAAGAAAAAGAAATACCGGCGACTGCGAGTCAGACTCCTGGCAAAAGGTCACGAACAAGTAGAGCTGTGCACAAGTTATCAGTTTCTAGGGTAAGTAAGCCAATGTAATATATTAAGAAGAATTTTTTCATTAGGTCAGTATGAACCGTTCCCCCTTCCTCAAGTATATTCTACTTTTTTTCACAGTTATTGGCCGATACTAAACGTGCCTCCGTCGCTGCGAACGCCGTCACGTCAGCTTCCGAGACTATGCCCGTGGACACTGAAACAAGTGCTTGCTCTGAACATGTGACGTCTCCCAGGTTTAAAGAGGTAGCAGTTCAATGCGATATTCTGCACGAAACGTCTATGGGTAAAGGTAGGTTACGCTTAGACATAATCTTACCTCGCTTTTTTCTTGCCCCCTAACCGGTTATCTAATGTAGAATCACTATCCAACAGGCACACAAGTAGAACCTTTGAGAGAAGATTTTCAGGTGCAGTGCGACTTTATTACAGCTCCTTTAAGCACTAGTACACCAGAATGCAGCCCTGTTAAAAGTCTAGGAGGACGCAGCGTGGACGATGACAAAGATTTCGATTATGTTCCACCGACTGATTTGTCTCTTGAGGAAGCCGAGGACGACATTGAAGAATATGAAGGGAGTCCGTCAAAGTAATGTACCGCCGTACACTGGTTATGTTTTTGAAGAGATATCGCGGTTTGTTTGTTTTCTTTTTTTTTCTTATTTTTCGCTGATGGTTTTCACTTCTTATTCGTTAACATATAGGTTAATTGGCAAAAAGGATCCTGTGGCTCCCCAGGATGAGAAAAAGTACATTGTCTTCTTCTCCTGTCTGATGGAACTGTTCGCGGTATGCCCTAATTGTACTGAACCTGCCACAGCTGAAGTAACTAAAGTAATAGGCACTCAGATCTATGTGACTCAGAAGTGTCCCGCCTGCAAATTTGTTCGTCAGTGGAAAAGTCAACCCAATATTCGAAGAATTCCTGCAGGAAATCTTTTACTCTCATCTGCCATTCTTTATTCGGGCAGTATGATATCACAGACCCTGCGAATATTCAAGATCCTTAAGGTGGAGTGCTTTAGTCGGCAGACGTTTCACAAACACCAGAAGAATTATCTTATCCCCGTTGTTATAAAATTGTGGAAGGAGGAGCAAGACAGAGTTATACAGATTAGGGACCTTTAGCATCAGGTTTTTCGTGGGAAACGGCAAACCGCAAACCGCAAAATGTCACGTGACCAAGGCCTTGCGGTCACGTTTGCAGTTTGCAGTTCACGTTTAGGCTAAATAAATGTGAACTGAACTGAACTGAACTGAACGCCTTGCTAAAGTTTGAAATCTCGGCAACGCGAAACTGCAAACGCGTAACTGCGGTTTGCCGTCTGCGGTTTGCGGTTTACCTGATGCTAAAGTTCTCTAATATGTCGGCTTTACCAGGGGGAGTTGTTCTTTCGGGGGACGGGAGGTCTGACAGTCCAGGTCACTGCGCCAAATATGGAGCCTTTACAGTTATTGAGCAAAGAGTAAACAAAGTCTTAGATGTGCAACTTGTTCAAGTAAGTACATGGCAGTTTAATAATTTATCTTTATTGCCTTTTTTGTTCAGTCCTGTGAAAAGTGCTTTTGTCTGTGCCTACCAGTCTAATGAGGTGCGGAACAGTTCTTGGTGTGAACACGAGGGTCTTCTTCGTATGGAACGCTTTCTGGCTACCAAAGGGCTTCTACTCGATGTCATCATTACTGACAGAAATCGTCAAAATGCCGCTTACATTCGCAACAACATGAAGCCAAAAGGAACTACGCATTACTACGACATCTGGCATATAGCTAAAGGCAAGTAAAGCGTTTATACAACTAAGAACTCGACCTGCCCAACTAAATATTGAATTATAATATATTTTTTGTGTTGACGGGTGTAAAAGTATTTCTTATTTGTAGGTATTGGCAAGAAAATTGACGCTTTGGCAAAACAAAAAGATTGCGAAGATGCAGGCTTGTGGAGGAAGTCGATCGTAAACCACCTATACTGGGTAGCTGCCACTGCACCCGAGGGAAATGAGGACATGATAGAGGCTATGTGGAAGTCAGTTTGCAACCACATACAAGACATCCACGAGGAGCACGGTGATCTCTACCCGGCGTGTGCCCATGGCCCCTTGGACGAAGAAGAGAGGGACAAAGAGTGGCTGCAACCTTGTAGGAAATTTTGGATTTTTGTTCTACAAAAACTCCATGCTATTAGTATCTTATTTCTTTATTTCCAATTTAATTTGCAGCATCAAAGGTTTGTGAAAAGCTGACCGACATACTTACAAGCAAGTCTCTACTGAAAGACATCAGGATGCTATCACCTCGGTATCAAACCTCCTCTCTAGAAGCCCTGCACAGTTTGGATATTATATTTGCTCCCAAGCACACGGCATTCGCGTTCTTGGCTATGCTTGCCAGGTAACGTGACCTTTGTTTTTATGCTCCTAACTCTTCTTGACTCCTATAGACATTTCTGTTCGCGAGTATAGAGTTTTTATTCAGTATATGCTTTTCTTTTATTTAGACTACTTTTGGCTGCCCTTCATTATAATGAAAACAGTGACAGACTGCAAGCTGTAACTAAGGAAGGCAAGCCCTGTTACTCCATCCGCTTTCCCAAGCATAAAAAAGGGGAATACTCTGTTCGCAAGGAGAAGACTGCTGCCAAATATGGTAACCATTGCGATGTGAAGTGCATGCAGTCCGAAGTGCAAGAAAAAAAAAAAAAAAAATACACCCTTCTTTTTTTTTGATCCATCTATTTTCTAACTTTTGCGCCCTACTCCCGTCTCCCCTAAACACAAAAAGTAAACCCCCTCCCCACCCCCTATTCAAAGTTGCCTTGGTCTAAAAACCAACGTGTATAATTGCCATGCTATCCTAATCAACTTTGGATAAGGGGAGGGGGGAAATCGGATTTTCATTTGGCGGAGGTTTCAGTTTTTGCCGGGATGACAGGAAAAAATAGGCATTTTCGCGATTTGTCTCAACAGGTTTTGTCCGGGGTTGTAGGTATAATAAAATAACATTGAATGGTAAAAAAAATTCCTTCATAGACTTATTTTGGTGAAAAAAATTCCTGCAAATAGTAATGCTGAAAAAAAAAAAAAATTCACACTTAAAAGAAATTGCCCACCCCCACAAAAATTAAATGGTCCGTCCCTAAATCAATTCAGAAGAAAATCGTCGAATACGATATAAAAAGTAAATATCCCGAAGAATACTCGACCGTCGATAAAGTAGGAGGCGAAAAGCCTTTAGCAAGTAATCCTGTTAAAGTAGGAGGTGAAAAGCCTTTAGCAAGTAAATCCTGTTTTGTCTAGAGTTAGTCGCCTTCTCATTTCTTTCCTAATCTCCAAGCAAGCGAGACTGAACGCCGATATGAGCGTTGTTGTTTGTATTAATTCCTTCGGCTCTACTAGTGGTCGCTGTATGTTTACACAAAGGGGTGAAGCGAGAAGACGTATAGGCATCTAGTCTTTAGCACTGCACGAAAAATTGGATTTACACCAAATTTACTCAGTGCAAATTTGGTACAAAAAAGTGCAAACTAAGGTTAAATAAAGGGCAAAGATGGTAAATACCGCATTTGCTCTAAAATTTACACCCCCATGTAAACTGGCAGGCAAATGCGGTATTTACCATCTTTGCTTTTAATTTCCCCCTAGTTTGCACTTTTTTGCACCATATTTACACCGAGTAAATTTGTGTAAATCCAATTTTTCGTGCAGTGTAGCTAGAAAGAACGCTGCGGGCTCTCTTTATTCGTTTTTTCTACCCGGAACATTCAGTAATCGGTTGGTGAAAATATATGGCAAGTGATCGTTGTTAGCACTTTAAGCCAGTGGCTGACAGTGGAGAGAGAACTACCTCCTTTTCTCATGATCCTTTGGTATGTAACTGCATGTTGTTGGATTACTGTTTACTTGACACTTTAAAGAGAGATTGAAACACTCTCTGTTTAATTTACGGACTGCGTTCCGTGTGTAAACAGTTGAAGCAGTCGGTAAAGGTTTTTAATAGGGAACTTACGCGTACTGCCCTCTTAAAGCCGTTGAAAACATGATAAACTCGTCCATACCAGAACCTCGTTAAGGTCGGAGGAGAGATAACAGCCCGTAACCACGGCCGAATGACATTAAGCTGACTGGCTATATTACAGGGCTATTTCCTTTACTCAAGATGCTTACAATCTGGGGAGCTTCATAATGTTTCTTGGTGTTCGCAGGAACCCTCAAACAAACATCTGACTGCTCAAGGCCATTAGGCATGTTGACACGGCAAGAGATTTACTAGGCATTGTCCTAACAAAAGAGACTTCCTTTTCGTCCTGTAAACGCTAATACCGGTGACCAACGGATGACTTCAGCTCGGGTAAATGACAGGCGGTGATTCTGGTGAGATGTTTACATGGCTTTTGTTCTGGTTGAGCAATCACACTAGCCTTCACAGGGGTAGCAGGTAGCAGACCTATCTGAAGTTATGGTGCATGTAAGTTGGACGACGAGTCATACCGCCTTGTATCTGTTGTATCAGTTGGTTAAGGTGTTCAACCCTGGCGGTGCCACACATCTGTTTGGCAATGCGTAATCAATAGAGGCGAAGATTAAGGTTCAAATATGTTGCTAAGAGAACATAAATTGGAGAGACATCGATCTCAACCGATGACAGGAGAGGGCCAACGACAGACCTACCAGGAGGAGACTTATAAAACTTAGTCGAAACGACTGACTGTGATGATGATCAATGGAATGTTAATAAATAAAAATTGTTGTGTGTTAAAGGGCATGTAAACCCAAAAATGCTACTTTTTTTTTTTGATATGAGTAGAATGTATACCGAAAGTACTTCATAAATCTTTTATCTTTTTTTCGATACAAGCGCATTTTGACCCAAGAAATCACCTCTGAAAGTTCACTTCGTCCGCCATTTTGATTCCGCCATCTTTGTTGTGACGTCACGAGTGGAATCTCTACCCATCGGAAGTCAAAAACATCTTTGGGACCTTTACAAGCACGTGTGTTGTCTAGTTTCCTACAAGAATATTTTTCAGTTTTGACAATGGTAAAGCGGTGTGTCGTTGGATCTTGTAATAACTCGAACAAAACAGGGCATTCTACTCATTTTTTTCCAAAAGAAGAAAGAATTCGGCGCCAGTGGATAAACTTCGTCCAAATTAAACGTGCAGACTTCTTAGAGCCTACAGAACACTCCATAATCTGTGGCGCTCATTTTGCAAACGAATGTTTCGAGGATGATGGGATGGTCAAAATGGGGCTCAAAGATAAAAGAAGTAATTTGAAAACCGGTTCGGTCCCCACAATTCAACCCCAGCGACCCAAAGCATTACCCGAAGCGCGTAAGCGGACTATGAAGAGCGAAGAAAAAGAAATACCGGCGACTGCGAGTCAGACTCCTGGCAAAAGGTCACGAACAAGTAGAGCTGTGCACAAGTTATCAGTTTCTAGGGTAAGTAAGCCAATGTAATATATTAAGAAGAATTTTTTCATTAGGTCAGTATGAACCGTTCCCCCTTCCTCAAGTATATTCTACTTTTTTTCACAGTTATTGGCCGATACTAAACGTGCCTCCGTCGCTGCGAACGCCGTCACGTCAGCTTCCGAGACTATGCCCGTGGACACTGAAACAAGTGCTTGCTCTGAACATGTGACGTCTCCCAGGTTTAAAGAGGTAGCAGTTCAATGCGATATTCTGCACGAAACGTCTATGGGTAAAGGTAGGTTACGCTTAGACATAATCTTACCTCGCTTTTTTCTTGCCCCCTAACCGGTTATCTAATGTAGAATCACTATCCAACAGGCACACAAGTAGAACCTTTGAGAGAAGATTTTCAGGTGCAGTGCGACTTTATTACAGCTCCTTTAAGCACTAGTACACCAGAATGCAGCCCTGTTAAAAGTCTAGGAGGACGCAGCGTGGACGATGACAAAGATTTCGATTATGTTCCACCGACTGATTTGTCTCTTGAGGAAGCCGAGGACGACATTGAAGAATATGAAGGGAGTCCGTCAAAGTAATGTACCGCCGTACACTGGTTATGTTTTTGAAGAGATATCGCGGTTTGTTTGTTTTCTTTTTTTTTCTTATTTTTCGCTGATGGTTTTCACTTCTTATTCGTTAACATATAGGTTAATTGGCAAAAAGGATCCTGTGGCTCCCCAGGATGAGAAAAAGTACATTGTCTTCTTCTCCTGTCTGATGGAACTGTTCGCGGTATGCCCTAATTGTACTGAACCTGCCACAGCTGAAGTAACTAAAGTAATAGGCACTCAGATCTATGTGACTCAGAAGTGTCCCGCCTGCAAATTTGTTCGTCAGTGGAAAAGTCAACCCAATATTCGAAGAATTCCTGCAGGAAATCTTTTACTCTCATCTGCCATTCTTTATTCGGGCAGTATGATATCACAGACCCTGCGAATATTCAAGATCCTTAAGGTGGAGTGCTTTAGTCGGCAGACGTTTCACAAACACCAGAAGAATTATCTTATCCCCGTTGTTATAAAATTGTGGAAGGAGGAGCAAGACAGAGTTATACAGATTAGGGACCTTTAGCATCAGGTTTTTCGTGGGAAACGGCAAACCGCAAACCGCAAAATGTCACGTGACCAAGGCCTTGCGGTCACGTTTGCAGTTTGCAGTTCACGTTTGAACCGCAGGAAGGGCTTCCAGCGGTAAGTGATTTACGGCAAGGTTTTTTGCCACAAAAAATTGTACAGCCTCGCGTTTAAAGGTATGAACTAGCTTTTTGTATCCGTTTGCGATGTGTTTGTCGGATTTTTTATCTCGAATCAATGAATTATTGCTGAGTTTTGGGCGATTAAAGTGATGCACTTCGACTTGATGAAAACAACATGGCGGCCCTAAACAATGAACGCGTAGTTCAAATCAATTTTATATTCCTTTCTGCCGTACTAACAAAGGAAAGTATTCTGATCCAATCCAGAGTTAAATTTTTTTTCTATATTGTTTCTGAATTCATAACTTAACCCAGTCCCTGTTTGGTTCCTATTTTTAACGTATCACTCCGCGAATATCATTTTATTTTGCTTATCTCTTTTAGACTGGGGAGCCCAGGCTTCATAAAGCCTTCTGGTTTC